AGCCATCTGTCTTGCTCCGACAAGGATTACCTCAAAGGCTGCCACAAACAAGATGGGAGAGATGGCACAACCCATAGCGATTCCTACTTCTAACTGTTGCCACTCGGTGGTGAAATCTTGGAGGGCAAAACACATCTGCAGGTCATTGAAGTAGGATACAACCATGCTCTTGATACAGGAGGGCATGTGGAAGAACTCCATGGCATAGCTGATCAGCTGATGTGGGACTGATCCCTATGCATTTGCAAGATCAAGCCAGACAACATGCAGGTCTGTCTTTTCCCGCCTGGCCTTCTGGATCTGGTCCCAGATCATTGTAGAGTGCTTTCCTGCCTTCTGGCAGTTGGTGTCGATGTAGCCATTCTCAAGCAGGTAGGTGGTCATCCTTCTGGCCAGCACTGAGAAGAAGATTTTTCCTTCTACATTCAGCAGAGCGATGTTTCTGAACTGGCTGATGTCTTTGGACCATTTCAGCTGAGCTGGAGGAAACAGTAGATGTATAAGTATTACCACAGAGAAGTGTGTGTCTATTAGTGAGACAGAGGGGCAAGTGAGAATAACTCCTCTAATTAATAAAACACTGAAGTTTGCAATTGTCTATTAAATAAACATATCCACAAAATGAATTGTCCTGTGATTTTGTACAGGCTGGACTAAATAATATACTTGATGTTTGGTTGAATAAAATTAATTGATTACTCTTTCCTGTTTTTTTTTTGTAAATGTGTTCTCAATGTATATTGGAATGTGGTATGTAAATGCCATTACAATTATTAATAAATAATTTGCTTATATAAGAGTTCCATTTAAGATAAAGCAGGGGAAGAAATTCTGTGTAAGCTCCATCATTAAAACAGCTTGTTTTCCTCAGCCACCTCCCTACAGCAAATGTTTATAAAAGTGAAACTTATGAAACTTAGACAATGTTTAAAGAAATCCACTTTATTTGTTTAAAATTCAATACATCTAAGAAATCAGGACTTGTGTTTTACTAAATGTGTATCTTGCTGAACAGATAATTGGAAGTTAGCTGTCACGGTTTTAGGGAATGTTCTACCATTCAGATGCCTCTCTCACTCAATGCTAATCATTTTCTAATGCTAACTCTTTGCCAGCTTGAGTCAGTGGCTCAAAGTAGTAAGGCTAAAGACACCCTGTCTGATCAGAAACACCTCCCTCCATCGAAGATGTGTATGGCAGCGAAGAAAAATCATCGACTTGTAAGACCTCTTAGTCACAAAAGTGCCGTTTGATTCTGTCACCCTCCATATTTTCTGGTAGCTAACGTTATCTAGCTCTAAAAACACGCCAGCCCTGCCCACCTAGTTTCCCTCCCAGCCCCACCTCCAAATCCACAGATCACTGCAGTGCTCTGCCCAAAGTGCCCCTCTGATTTTTGAGCATTTTTAAAGATGAGCCAGGCGTGGAGTTAGCTGAAAGTAGGGGGTGTAGTTACTCTTTAAGGTATCAGTAAATGGAAAGTATCAGGAAATTTAAGGTGGCAGTAAATTTATGGTGGTGGTGGATTTAAAATGACCCCCCCCCCCAATAAGTCCAGTCATGAAATTTCCTCACTACTAAATATTCCACACGCCGCCACTGGACTCCAGAGCAGTGGAGACGTGTTCTCTGGAGTCACAAATAACGCTTCTCCGTCTGGCAATCCAACAGACGAGTCTGGGTTTGGCGGTTGCCAGGAGAACGGTACTTGTCTGACTCCATTGTGCCAAGTGTAAAGTTTGGTGGAGGGGGGATTATGGTGTGGGGTTGTTTTTCAGGAGTTGGGCTCGGCCCCTTAGTTTCAGTGAAAGGAACTCTTAATGCTTCAGCAGACCAAGAGATTTTAGACAATTTCATGCTCCCAACGTTGTGGGAACAGTTTGGGGATGGCCCCTTCCTGTTCCAACATGACTGCGCACCAGTGCACAAAGCAAGGTCCATAAAGACATGGATGAGCGAGTTTGGTGTGGACGAACTTGACGAGTCCTGACCTCAACCTGATAGAACACCTTTGGGATGAATTAGAGCGGAGACTGTGAGCCAGACCTTCTCGTCCAACATCAGTGTCTGACCTCACAAATGCGCTTCTGGAAGAATGGTCAAAAATTCCCATAAACACACTCCTAAACCTTGTGGAAAGCCTTCCCAGAAGAGTTGAAGCTGTTATAGCTGCAAAGGGTGGGCCGACATCATATTAAACCCTATGGATTAAGAATGGGATGTCACTGAAGTTCATATGTGTGTGAAGGCAGACGAGCGAATACTTTTGGCAATATAGTGCATTTACTAAAGCATTTGTAGACTTAGGATTATTAGAAAAAACAGCGAGCAAAGTAAAGAAATTCAGGTGTTAGTGTTTAAGGTAGAACTGCCTAATATTACACCCATTGTGAAAAAATGAATGTGCACTGCTAACAAAACACAGAAAGGCCAAGTAGTGTTATCACAATTTTCACATAGTTGCCTCAGCAATATTGCTTAGTAGCCTATATTGTTCTTTATTTAGTTTGCCTGCATACTTTGTTGCACATTAGGGTTTAGTGTAACTTTTACAGTATAGTAGTTGGATGTGGTTATTAAGATTGTAAAATAATGTGGTATGATTAGCCCCTGCTTCAGCAGAGCTGTGTTTTGCTCAGCCAATCAGTTGGCATTCTGTGCAGAGGTTAATGAATATTAATGAGCTTCCCCCCCCGCATATCCTACAAAATTTTGAACATATACTGATGAACTGTGTACAGTACACAGTATGCTATTTCGAACACAGCCATGAACCCTTTTCACACTCCAATGCTGTTAAGAGGAAGCACGACAAAGCAGGTAAAAATACATCTGGTTTGATCATTTGAAAACATGGAAGTAGGCACTTCACAAGTTGCCTGAGATAGGACTTTACTCATAGGCAGTGATGTAGACCTATTAATAAAAGAATATATATATACACACACACACACACACACACACACACACACACACACACACACAAGATGCACTAATAATAAAGAATATAGATAGGCTATTCCAGGGAGCTAACTTGGCAAGCCTGACTGAAATTGTTGGCTTGTGTTAATATTTATACAAATTGAATAAATTAATGTTTTCATATGTACACGTAGTTTTAAATGTTGTGAATAAGGAGGTGATAGTGAGGGCCAGATCATACTTATCAATGAGGGTGAATGATGATCCCCACCAAGCACAGGCCTGAAACAGTTACGGCTAAGAACGATAAGAGAGCTGCAGCTGCAGTGTTATCTAATCAAAGTTGGCTAATCAAAGATGTCTGCAACTAGCACTGAGCAACAACGTTTAAATCTGCATTGCAGTGCTTTGTTAGGACAGGCTGCTTTTGCAATATCAGCAAATTGGTATGATCAACACTGTCAAACCCTTCTGGCTCTGATTGGTTGTTTTAATTCAGGTATGGTGGATTCTTGCAAATGGCATTAGGAGCACTGGGTGGAGCCAGACGAGCCTGATTTTCCCCCAATTATCTGTCTCATATACGACTGTAAGGACATAGTGACAATTTTAGCTAAATTGACAAACAGCTACTTTTATACGGGTTACCTACTGCAGCTTTAACTGTAGACTAGCAAAAATCATGGGTCTTGGTTCGCTTCCCAACGAACCTTGCGTCTGGGAACACATTTTTGTGATGGTCTGCACCAAACGATGAAAATCCAACATCAGAGTTTTAACATCTAACTCTTTACAGATGCTCATATCATTCCTGCAGCACGAGCTGCTAATAATGGCAAACAAGCAATAAAAATAATAATAATAATGAAGCAATGCCTTCAATCTTGACAAATGGGTCGCAGAACATCAGAATCAGCAACCTGACTGATTACATTCAAATTGACAAACCAATCATAAAAAAGTAGATATCAAGTACACGTTGTTATTATTAATGCTTTGACTGTGATACACAGTATAGACATTAAGAGTTTCATTTTCATGCAAAGTAGGACTTTTTTTGGCTTAAATGGTAATAAACATAAGAGTAACAGAGCACTTGTATCCCTGCAAACCTTCTGACCAATAAACTTGTGTAATTCGGTGCACTTTAACTGTTGCAGAGTGAAATCAACTGAACCAAATAAAAAAGATAGAAAAACCCAAACTTTGATTCAGACTTTAGGAAAAAAAAAAACTATTGTGAATTGTGAAAACAGCCTTATATTGAATCTTCTCTGCACAGAATTCCGTGTGTAGTTAGACTATGGGTCAGTGACTGTTACCATCAACACTCCCCACAACTCACTGCAACAATCATAGGTATAGCAACCCCTTCATATGTTTCAGCACCCCTATAGCACCTCCGCAAAAAAAAATGCCCCTGCATATGGCCAGAGAACTACACTAGCATACCTACCTGCTTTTTCACCCTGCTATATGTCTACATCATCTGCCAGTGTTGCAGCAAAGTGTTGTTCCTGTACATTTTTCAGATTTTTCTTTCCCAGATTAATTTTTTCATCACAATGAATGCTGCCAACATTAAGAGCATGATGCTGTCCTGGGATGCAGAAATTCATAGATAACGAAGTGAGGATAATCTGCCCACTGAGGAAATCACATGGGTATGTAAGTGGATTAAGAAAGTCTGCATGTAGGCTTTCTTTGACGTTTTACGTAGCGATAACATCTTGAATAAAGCTAAAATGTACAAATATACTACTAATTTAATCAGCACATGATAGAATTTTGAATTTATATAATTCTGTAGTTGTGTAGAAACATTGTAGGAGATCCTTCACACCTAACAAACTGCACCGCACACCATCACTGATGCTGTTTGATTTTATTTTGCTCATTGATCATAAAAAAGTAATTGCATATTTCATAAGAAGACAATATTGAAAGAAATGGAATATATGACCATTATGATGTCATGATAAAAGAGTTTCACTGTTCCCCAAGAATGAAAGAAATGAATTAATTACATCATTTGATGCGTTACTTGGATTCAATTCAACAAAGTTTCAGATGTAATTTTGTAAGTTAGTGGGAAGTCTATAGAAATTAGTTGGTGAGAAATCAGAGAACTGAAATTTTTAATCACTGCATTTTTTGGCACTCTGTCACATGGCAGCCACACTCTTCAACATAAGTGTAGGTGTGATTGAACTGGTGATGGTCAGGACAGTTCATCTCCACCTGCTTGCTGCTGGTACGCAGCTCCTGACAGCAGGAGCACCGGTGCATCATGCTGTTAGCTGCCATCGAGTATCTGCACAAACAAGACAGACACAGCCATCAGAGAAATGGAGAGAGTAACAGAAGTGCTGAAAAAAGCTATGAATGTTTTCTTTGCGTGTGTGCGTGTGTATGTGTGTGTGTTTGTGAGTGAACACACTCACATTGAGCTGGTGTCACAGGCGCCGGAGCAGGAGGTTATCTCCACAGAACCCACAGATGTGCAGTTATTGACCACCAGGTAGGTGTTGTTCTTCTGAACACGGCAGCTCTGAATCTCACCTGAGAGAAGAAACGCAGGTGTATTATAGTCAAAAGTACTTAAAGGTGCCAGCATAAAATAATACAACATAATAAAAGCAAGACACTTTCACACATACTTAATGCTTCCAAAGTAGTTTAATAAAACAATAAACCACAAGAAGCCATGAATTTACAGTTAAGGGGTGTTGTTAGGTGTTGTGTGCATCTCTGAAAAATCACGTTACTACAAGACCAAGTGCTTTACTGCTTTATGGCAACAAACTACAATAATAAATAATCACATTTTTTATTGATAATTATACAACAGTTAGTTCCGGCCACTGATTGGTTGAGAGGTGTTCCAACCGTGCTGTTATTTCGCCATAACATCACGGTTTTTCCACAAACACTGTATCACTCCGCCAAAAAGCATTTGACAGCTGTAGGAGACACTCAAGCCATTTGAATGTTTTTACTTCTTACTTTGGGCACAAACAGAAAATGGATACTTTTAAGATCACATTTAACCGACAGCCGATTTGGTCAGACTCTGAAGGTGAGACTACACTAAATTCCCAAACTGTCATCACCACTGAGCAGCTTTTCAGTTGGCAACACCTAAATAACCTGTAATTAGTCAGAAATAAACCGAATACCATTCGCCAAACGTGTAGTCTCATCTTCAGAGTCTGACTAAATTGGACTGAGCCATAAAACTGCCGCAATAAAAAACAAAAAAGCTGCTCAGTGGTAATTACCGTTTCGGAATGTAGTGTAAGGAGCTGGAGAATGAACTGCTGGCTGTGCAGCGAGTGAGCTGAGCTCATTATTCTGACGTAGCAACGAGCTTGTTAAGGAACTATAATTTGGCGGAAGGAATCGCTAACATTAAAACGTATTAAACGCCGCGTTCACGGCTCAGTTTATATATTTCTTACTTTATTTATTTAACTGTTGTGTAAAAGCAACAGAACACTCGAGGTTGTGTTATCATCGCGTATAACATCACGGCTGTGATGATCTACAGCGACCAAATCACAGCCGTGATGTTATTTCACGATAGCACACACGCTCTCATGTTCTATTGCTTAATAATCATATTTAAACTTCCACCAAGCAATGGAATGTTTTAACGTTAGATTAAAGCAACAAAACAGCCAAAGATCACTAGAATAGTGCATTTCCTGAAGAAAATGCAGCAATTGAGCAGCTTAAAGCAATTTGAGAACGTTTCTAAGGTGTTGCCAGGTTGCTATGGTATTTTTTATGGTTGCTAGGGTGTTGATAGGCAGGTGCTGTGGAATTCCAGGTGGTTGTTGAGGTGTTGCTAGGTGGTTGCTAGAGTGTTGCTAGAAGGTTGCTATGGTATCCAACGTGGTTGCTAAGGTGTTGTTAGGCAGTTGCTATGGTTTTTAGGTGGTTGATACTTTGTCAGAGGTATGCCTGATGAAGCCTGATGAAGACTGTCTGGGCGCAAATATACTTATACTTGATATATCGAGTAAGCAAATGCACTGCAGAATACACTAGTTCAGTTCAGCTGTATGTAAGTTTGAGCATTCCTTGCCGAACTATGTTTTGTTGATTTAAGTCCCATATGTCAAACACAAGATCGCAGCACAATCCTATCTGGCCCGCAAAATTATTTAGATTTTCTATTAATATTAGCCCATTTCACTATGCGCTGCACTACAGTTCCCGGAGTGCACTGTATGCACTGTAATGTATGCAATGTAATGTGCACTCACACACTCTCCCCCAACAGTCTATGGGAGAGTGGTTACACCACAGTTCTACCACACCAATCATATCACCAAACGCACTAGCTGCAGTTCAACCAATATCAACGCTTGACTTAGCAGCTTAGAAACTGATCCCAAAAATAAATGAACTGGCAGCAAAGAAAAGATGCCAGGTGTGTAGATCAAGCACACAGGCATGTTTAAAAGACCTCCTGGGGAAATTTAAGCATTTCAGGGTTTACAACGTGTGTATTCTGAATAAACAATGATAATTTCGGGTTATAGCAAAACATTATTTAAAGATGAATAAAAACACAGGCCTTTTCTGGCCCATGGATTTGTTGAGATTTTTTAATGAGGCTCTTTTAGTGGTTGAATTCGACATTAAAAATAAGTTAACACCTCCTCTACAGAGAACAAACGTCTGCACGTTTTAATGCACAATTACTGTTTTTATGCTGAAGTTCACATAAAAAGTAAAACGTAAAAGGTGGTCTGTGCAAAAGTTATGAAACATTTTATATTTTAAGTTGTATTTTTTCAGCATGTTGAACTCAAACGCAAATACATTTATACAGTGCACTTTAATGTGCAGGAAAAAGTCACATTTAAGTTTATCTGCAGAGGATATAACTTCACTTACAAAATCAATAAAACGTCCTTTGACCAGGGGTGTGAAACTTGCATACAACTGCATATTCAGATACATACAAACATTAAAGACAAAAAAATGTAGATCTTCTGTTCTAATACTATGAAATGTCTGTATTTCCACCAGAAGGAGAAGCGTAACTATTATTCCGTTTCTAAACTGAAGGGAGTCTGGACATTGTACTGTGTTGTCAATAACATTCAGGAAATGACTGATTAGGGTTAGGATTATATATACTATGGAGAGTTGGATATGGACATTAGTTAATACTATTATTTGCACCTTTTTTGATTAAATATTTTTGTATAGAAACCTGGCCAGTAATCAGTAAGAGAAAATGGAGACAAAGAAAGTTTAGCATCTTACAAGTTTTGCAACATCCGTCTGGTGTGGTTGTCTCGGTGCCCTTGAGAAAACAGTGTAAACATTGTAATTACTGATTACTATGTGTTGCTATTACATTCCTTATAATTCTGGAAAATCTAATGCAGATTACCCCTGAGTAAATTATTTTTGTATAACAAATTAGATGGATAAACTTACAGGTATGCAGTTTTCTGGGTTAAATGCTGGGCAGTATGTAGAGAAGTCTTTCACCAACGTAAATGCATTATCAACTTTAGTGCAATTATAGTACACACACTTTTCATTTAGAGGGTTAAAGCTCTCTCCAACCTGAAACAGTGAGACACAGAAAGACAGGAATGACGATGCTGCAATAACAAGATGACTTTTTGAACATAATTCTGTTGACCATACCTCAATCGTGTGTACTGTGCTGTTTGGATCTGTATAAACACAACGTTGTTGTTTACATTGTCCACAGCATTTCTCTGGGTCAGGTACATACATAAAGCCCTACATAAAAAACATGCAACAATTTTAATACAACAAATTTAGTACAATTATTTATTGCATACCAGAAGATGTTTAGGACAGTATATATAAATATTTGAATTTCATGCAAGCTGAATCTAAAGCAAAATAATAGATGCTTTTTTGCTGCACTTGGCATGCCTCAAAAATGCAGAGGTTTCTAAAAGCTGGCTAGAGAAACATAAGACTGTATCCTTCCCTGCCTGTTTATATATTGCCTATACCACACACACACACACATCTTCTGAAACCGCTTATCCTTCTGGGTCGCAGGGGGTGCTGGAGCCTCTCAGCAGTCATTGGGCAAAAGCCAGGAAACACCCTGGACAGGTCGCCAGTCCATCGCAGGGCAGACAGACAGACATATACATTCACTCACAGATTCACACCTAGAGCAATTTAGCATGTTCAGTTGGCCTGACTGCATGTCTTTGGACTGTGGGAGGAAACCGGAGCACCCGAATGAAACCCACACAGACACAGGGAGAACATGCAAACTCCACTCAAAAAGGACTCTGGTCGCCCAGCTAGGAATCGAACCCAGGCCCTTCTTGCTGTGAGGCAACAGCACTCAGTATTCAGTAATTTCTATTGCCTCGGTTAAAGTTTCACTTACAAAACAGATACAGCAAACCAAATGTTCTGGTGACTCTGAACTGATACAATTCGACTACACAGATTAAGCCCATTACCTGAGAGCAGTTCCTGTTGCAGTTCACAGAAGAGCAGTTTGGAGTTAGCAGTCCAGTCTTGGGGTCCATGGTGGAACCACAGCTGCAGTCCTTACAGATGTCTACTGGAATTTTAACTCCAGGCTATAAATGGATATGACACAGTCAGCTATCAGTGATACAGTTTTGTAAGTCTCTTTACTGCATGACCGCACCGCCAATCTGGAGAGATGAAGGCTCTTTGCAAACCACACAATTTTGCTTAACTGCTCATCACATGTGAATGAGGAATCCAATCCATATGTTACTGAATCCATGAAGGAAAGATGATGACCCTTACCACACAGTTTGTACAGTCCAAGAGACAACACAGAAGACTACATTACCCAAGAAGCTTATCTCGTGCTTCTTATGCATAAATGTTACCATGTTAGTATGCAAAGTGAGAAAAACAGACAAACATAAATCTTACCCAATATTCTGTGCCATTGAATACACAGACTGGCTTGGGTCCTAATCAAACAAACAGGCAGGTTGAAAATAATTGCTTTATTGTCTTTAAAGATGAGATGACTTAATTAAGTGCTCGTATTATAGGTGATTTTAAACAGAACTTGTGAGACTGAGACTTACTGCAAGAGAAAGTAGGGCAGCAATCATCCACAGTCTTGTTTTGTACCAACTCAAATCCAGTTTCACATTTTACAGGGGCACTGGGGCACCGAGCAGGATCACACTCTGTTAGTGAGAGAAAGCATGCATAATCAGCTTTATTAGTATAAGTAACACTTTATTTAGGATACCATGCTATATTTTCTCTATCGGGCTCACTCTCATCTGGACAAGGGTGGTAGCGCTTTAAGAGTCATGTTCTTTGATTTTTCCAGTGCCTTTAATACCATTCAGCCCCTCAAACTGAGAGTTAAGCTGGCAAGGATGCAAGTCGATTTATACCTGGTCTCCTGGGTTACTGACTACCTCACTGGCAGACCTCAGTATGTCAGGCTGAAGGACTGTACATCAGAGACTGTAGTTAGCAGCACAGGAGCACAAGGGACTGTACTTTCCCCTTTTCTTTTTACATTGCATACCTCAGATTTTAAGTACAACTCTGAGACGTGCCACATACAGAAGTTTTCGGATGACACTGCCATTGCGGCATGTGTAAGGGGAGGGCAGGAGGAGGAATACAGGAACCTGGTGAAGGACTTTGGTGAAACTTGCTACTGAACACTTAAAAGACCAAGGAGATGGTGTTGGATTTTCACAGGTCTAGGCCACTCACACAGCCAATCTCTATTGAGGGGGCTGAAGTGGAGGTTGCTGTCACAGAGCTGCTCAACCGACAGACTCAGAAGATCCTTTGTCTCTAGAGCCATTAGGCTCTTCAACTCTTCCCAGTGGGGCCAGAAGAGAAGAGAGAAGAGGACAGATGAGGATTGAATCTCTCATGCTAAATCATAGGTTTATTTTATCTATCTGCACATATGGACACCTTACTGTACATACTGCACTTCTGCACACCTTATCGCACATCTGGCATATCTGGACACTCCTCACCTAGACACTTTATTTCAGTACCAATATATGCACATATTTATTCAGCATTGTCATTATATGCTGTTACCTGAGCCTCTTTGCACATTCACTATTGCACTGCCTTTTTTATCTCAGGATAGGTCTTATTGCATATTTTTATATATTTCTAGTTGTATATATATCTGTAGATAGGTTTTTGTATATATTTTTCTTTTGATATTGTATCACCCTTATTATTATAACAGTCCTGTATTGTGTGACTGCTACTGGCTGCTAAATTTCCTTCGGGATCAATAAAGAATCAATCAATCAATCAATCAATCAATCTATCTATCTATCTATCTATCTATCTATCTATCTATCTATCTATCTATTTATTTATTTATTTGGATAGCACCCTGTAGATGCTTAACTCACATTTAACTTGCATTCAACACATTATCACTTATCTATTAAATTCACCCTCATTTTCCCTGACCCCAGCCCCAACAAAAAACTTAACCCTAGCCCTAATAATGTTCACTTACACTTCTTCTGAGTTTATATGTAATGCTGATGATGGTTGAACAATTTGAACATCTACAGATCATCTTTTGAAGGCTATGTAAACAAAGCAGGACTATATTTATTATATTTCCAAACATAAATGTTTGTGTTGTTGTATGTATCCTTTAAAAATAACATCTCCATGTATTTATGAATTCTACCTTTTGCCAGATAATTTACAAATGGAGTCAAATGTGCACAATTAAAATAAACACCAGATGTTATTACTACTCATCATTTTGATGTAGATCTAATACAAGTGCAAATCTTGATGCTGGTGACATGGCTAATCCTGACAATGGGAAAGGTACACACCCTAACATTCAGGTCAATCGCTTATGCATATTAACGTATATGATTTATTCTTAGTATCTTTCATTTTATTTTAATTTTGTCTCAATTTAAAAAATAACTGATCACTCACCACATGTTGGACAACAACGGTCGCTGGTTGCTGCCTTGCTTGCATAGCCAGTTTTGTTACATGGTTCTACAGCGGGACACTGGACAGGTTTACACATTGGACCCATGGTCTCTGCACTGCATTCACAATCTTCACAGTTCATGCTCCATTTGTCTCCTGGCTGCAGGAGAAACATGCGATGAGCGTATACAAAACGTTTTTAGACTTAACTAGCTTTACATTGATAACGTTCAACGTACGATTAGGTAACCTGCCGGACCGATTAAATGAGGATTCTTGCAAGTCTCCAACTGCTGGTAAGTGCCATGAAAAGCTTGCAGAACTCAGTACATCTAAGAAATCAGGACTTGGGTTATATCGAATATGGAGCTGCTGAACAGATAATTAGAAGGTAGCTGTCACAGTTTTAGGGAATGTTCTACCATTCTGACACCTCTCCTGCTCACTGTCATTTTCTGGCACTACATTAACTCTTTGGCGGCTTGAGTCAGTGGCTCATACTGTTAAGGCTCAAGACACACTGCCTGATCAGAAACACCTTCCCTTGTGAAAGATAGGGATGGTAGTGAAGAAAAATTTTCAACCTTGTAAGACCTCAAAGTTGCAAAAGTCCTGTTTGATTCTGTCACTCTCCATATTTTGTGGAAACTAACGTTAGCTATAAAAACACAGCAACCCAGCCCACCCGGTTTCCCTTCCAGCCCCACCTCCAAACTGCAGTGCCCCTCCCATTTCTGAGCATTTTTTAAAGTTGAGCCATGGGTGGAGTTGGCTGAAAATAGAGGGGTGTTGTTACTCTTTAATAATCTGATAATAATCGCATTTCTGCAGTGTCCGATTACTCACGTGGCCATATAAACAGCATACTCCAGTTTCTTGGTTTGAAGTAAGGTCTAGAAATCCAATTAAGAAATCAGATTAAGAGAGATGGATTTTAGCTCAGTAATCGGATTTCTCAGTGTATGTATAATCTTACTCTGATTTCCACGAAGCGAGTTTATAAAAGCTGTGAATGAGCCACACTTAATTTAGCCTCATAGTTCACCTCAGCCTTGGGCTCCACTAACAAAATCCAGGTGCAACCTGTTCGTGCTAATTCAAACCACAATTTAGTAATCGAGGTTCATGCCTGTGCACGTGATATTTAACCAGCGTGGAGAGTTGAGTGCAGATAAAGCAATATATCATCTAAATAAGCACAGAAAAAAAAAAAAATAAAAATAATGAAAACTTTGACAGGTTTTGGTTTATTTTCGGCAAGCGATTAATACTATATATATTAGCAATATCTAATATTAACTAATTTTTATTCATTGTTCTAGTGAAATGATGGAAACAGCAAGTGTGAAATACACATGGCAGCATGTGAAAGTAGAACATAAAGAAAGTCTAAATGATTTTATTTTTTTTTACTGAATATACCAAACGAATACTACATATTACATCTAACCAAAAGGAAGGCTGTTACTGCCTTTGGTGGGGTGGGGGATCCTGTAATAGACCTAATTCAGTGCCTCATTATTTCAAAACAGCATGAAAAAAAATTCAATTGTTGTTCTCCTCAGTGAAAAACCAAAACCAATGATGGGAAATGTCCTGAGTGCAAATTAGAGTAACTTTAATAGCTCATTTTATACAACAGTTACTTGAGGCTTTATTTATTTATTATTTTCCTCTTGTTAGTAAAATTGCTCATTTTAAAAATCTATGCACTCTCTTTCATATGTCCACCATCCATGTGATTTTTAACTGCTTTATTAAAAGTGTCTGTGTCACAGTCTCTCTGTGGAGTGAATAAGAGATGCTGCAGTTGGTTAAATCTGGACTTTAAGTGGTTAAGCGCAGGTTCGGAACAGAGTGTATGCAGAAAAACATTGCTAACTCCACAGTAGGCCAGAAAATAAACATACAACAGTAACCATTACAGTTACATTTGCACATGCAATAGCAACTAATACTTTGAGGGTCTGTAATGTCTTTACCCTGAATAAACCTCTGATTTAAATCACCTTTATGCAGCTAGACTTTCTAAATCTTCTCCATATTAAGTTTTATATAGATAGTTTATTAAGCAATGCTCATTTATGATGGACTTTTTAACTGTATGCTATTTTTTAAAAAAGTAATTATATCCTTACTATCAAATCTTAGTAGTCCCCACAATAAATTAATAAAAAATACTAAATATAGTATGCTCTGTTTGCAGCAATGTATCAGACAGTATTAAGTGTAAGGTTGTTCTAGGGTATTGTTTTAACCTGGTGAGCCTACGACGTCACATAGCTTGGTCAACAGAATTAATCAGGCTACGCTAAGCCTCAACATTAGCCTGGTACAGAGTAGATTTGTCCAAAAACACATGTTGTCATGGTAAATGACTGGGTCTTAAGATAAGCTTATGTCGTGGAATCAAAATGACACAAATTAGCTGGCCTTACTAGAAAAACCTGGCTTATTGAGTTAGCTCACTTTGTGGAACCCTGCTGGAGTTTTCACATTATCTGTTAACCCAACTGTGAGTGTATGTGAACATGTCTGTGTGTCTGCCGTGGTGGACTGGCGACCTGTCCAGGGTGTTCGTGACTCAGGAGGATAAGCGGCTTAGATGATGAGTGAGAGAGTGATTACCCAAGTGCATGTGAAAACCACCATGAATCTTTTTTTTTCCCAATTTATGTTGAAAGGCTGAAAAATTGGTGAAATTCCCCTTTAACTGAAGAAGGTATGTGGTCACTGGTTTCAGGTGATTATGCCTATGGTGGCCCACAAGACCCTTTGACTCACAGTACAATGAGAAATACATTGCAAACTCATAAACGCGCAAAGAAAATGCTCAAAATGATTACACCTGAACTTAATTTCACAAAGACGCTGCAAATACAGAAAACACATGCAACTCGAGAAATGCTGCAAAGACACAGCAGAAGTGAGCCACAACACAATGGAAATGTTTCTGGAAGACTCTGGAAGGGGATGAAATATCTATGATGGAAAATCACTGACAGAAGTTGATACGTTAATGAGACCACAGAGACTTGTATTCAGTTCATGGTTCACTTGGCTGGCTAGTTGTCTATATATAGCTATATATAGTGTCTCAGCTGTACTACAGTAGTTATCAGTCACATCTGGTACTGGTATTTGAACATTACAATACAGCTAACTCCCATCACGATACAGCGATGTTAGTTATCTGCTCATATAAAAGTTAATTTACTTTTACTAGTGAATCTTTGTGCTGCATAGATTTTAAAAGTCTGAATGGCTCCATCCTCTTTGAGTGTCCTCCAGAAACATTTCTGTTGTGTTGTGCCACCATACTGAGCTTCACAAAAGAAAAATCCTAACTGTTATCTCACCTTCCTAGGCAGTCCATCAGGACCTACACAACCTAAGACACAGAAGAAATACATTTATAGATACATTTATAGATAGTTATACAGGAAAAGCTTGTTAAAAGCCCAGGATGAAGAGTTTCTGTTAAGAGATCAGTCTAGAAATACAAAAGAGAAGAAGCTGCTTTTGTATTACAGCTTAAAGAACTACAGCTGTTATATTACGAATCAATTATGAGTCACAGTATTAACTTACCACAGAAGGGTGTACAAACGCCTGTAGCAGCGTTAAACAGAGTGGTGCCGTTAGGACAGAAGCATCCTTCCTTGAATCCTTCACACACCTGAGACTTACAATCTACAAACTTCTCATTGTACCTGGATTATGGGAAAAAAGAGAGTATGATGAACCATCAGCATCAAAATATGAGGCATTAAAATAATACTGTAGTGATTAACTGATTACTGAAACTGCTCTATTACTTTGAATTGCAGGTTTCTTCCACAACGGGCCCACATGCCTGGTAGACTTTAGGACCAGAACATTTGTATTCTATAAAAAGAAATGAACACTAATGAACACAAGTATCTGTATTTTGTAAGCCAGTATTTAATGACAATTATATTTACTGCTCCTCACCACAAAGTCCATTAGTAGAATTCCTCCAGTCCACACATACAGACATCTGAGCACACAAGGCAGCATAGCTCTCCAGGCTGTGGCAGCCAGTGGCATTCTGCATGTTGCACACATCATATTTACATGCCTTATAGAAATTTACAGGAGGATAGAATAGACTGCACTGTTCAAACACCCTAGAAGAGAAAAAAAAATCATGATACGGAACAAAAACAAATCTAGTTTGACTGTAGGAATTATAAAGGCTTTTAATAATTTCACATTTATTTTATAGACATATTATAATCAGTGTTGGGAGGGTTACTTAACCCCTTAAATGGCCAAGATCCTTTAGTTACTTAATAATAAGCCTTATTAGGTAAAAGGCCTGAGATTTTAAGAGGCTAAAAAGTATTGGATTCCTCTACTACCACAGACTGAACTATAGGACACCCGCACAGACACACACGCTCATAAATTAACAATATGAGACCATCTCACTCTCCACTTCTTGCGGTTCCAGAATATGTCTGTGACATATATAAATATAAATATTGCATCTCACTAAAATACTTTATTTGACATAACTTATTTACCCAACTTCTTGCATTTTTGCACATTTTACTTCTATAATAATATTGGCTGCTAGAGAACTGTATCAACCAAATACTGTATTCCATTGCTGTTCTGGCTGCTACCTCAGTGACTGCTATGTTCATATATGCTATCTGTTAATCTGCAAACATGTCATAATATGTTACATTCTCCTTTGCACAACTCCACATATTCTCAGTATCGTGCACTGCCTGTGTTCTGTTTTGTATTTTTTGTTTTTTTGTATTTATTGTACTGTATTGTCTGCACTGTGTATATTGTATTGTTTTGCACTTGTGTTCTTGTGTTCTTGTGTTGCACCACGGTCCTGGACAAATGTTGTTTCATTTCACTGTGTACTAGGAAAACTGTTTTATGAAGCAAATGATAAATTATAGGTGACTTAATTATCTGTGTCACGGTCAAAAGGTCAATCTGGTAGAAATCCAGAAATACAGTTTGCTGCTGTAAAATCAAGCAAAGTGCAAAACCAGAGTAAACGCCTGATTCAAATAGGAAAACACATCAGATCTCAGTTCTGCCTATAAAAATAAAATACATAATTACATTTCAACAGATTGGCTGAATAAAGCTAGTTAGGGGGCTTGCACTTCAGAAATTGTTCTTCCCAAAATGAAAAATTTCAAATCTACACAATTCATGTGACATATTTATCATTCATAAGATCCATGATCGGCAAATGTTTTTGAACATAATCCTGCCAGTAATCACCCTATTTTTATAAAGTTCTTGTAATATGATTAGTCTTTTTTACTGTTTACTCTTTTTTAGTGATTAATTTACCTTTTTTGTACTCTGATTACGTAACATTGTTACATGTATTTCGTCACTACCCAACCCTGATTGTAACCATAGTAGAAAACTGTCAGATTATTAATTAAATATGTTCATCTGGACCATTTACAATCTTGATCTGTATATGTACATCATATACAGCTGAATATCTTACTTGCTGAGGAGTATTTTGCAAATATCAGGGTCACATATTTCAGTTGTGGTTGAGGTTGGGGTTGTGGTTGTGGGTGGAAGACAGGGTTGTGTGTTGTTGTTGGTCACAGTCCAATTCTGTGCTGTCTTTTCACATGCCTGAATTTCACCACTACGTAGTCTGCAGTCATTATTTGCGATGTTGTCACAAACACCTTTCAAGACAATTCATTAAAAACAGTTAAGGAAAATTGCAGTTAACCCATCTAAAACTTTTACATATGTATGACAATATTTTAACAGTTAGGTAGTACAGAATGAAAAATGACAAATGCCACAAGTACAAATGGTTAGATTAATAATAAAGTGTCACATTAAATCCCACTCAGCCCATATAATAAAGTATCACATTATATAACATAAAGGACCATTATTAATAAAGCAATACACAATGAGAGGCTGTGAGTTACTGCGATTTTATCACAGGAAGGGTGTTCTTAGACACGCGAAGCAGAGTGGCTAAAGCTCCCTTCCCTGTGATAAACAGCGGCCAACATAAAATATGATTAAATACACACTTTTTCACAAAATAATTTAAGTTATTGTTAATAATAATCAACATCAACAAGTATTCCACCAAGAAATGTGGTTCCTTTAGACTATGGCATCATTGCTAAGCAACCATGCACCACTGAATTAGGTGAAGAATGATAACACAACACTGTTTAATGCCAAAACGTTTGCTTTATAAGTACTTTTTTGTCACCAAATCATCCAGTGGCTGAATTTCAAATGGCTCCCTGCTCCCTACAAAGTGCACTACATAGGAATTTAAATACTTGATCCTGCACCTCAACGTGCAAAATATAGCTAAGAAAGTCATTTGGCATTCCGCCACATTCATACTCAATAAATGGTGCACTGTTTGGCTGTAGAGGCTAGAAGTTCTAAACTGTCATAGCTAGCACACTATTTAGGGAGTACGGAGGGATTCAGCCTGGATTTGACACTACTCCTGACTGAAACACAATGTCTTTTATACTGCCGTTTTACAGTTAATCATATTTTATGATTTATTTAATCATAATCAGATTTTAGGACCGGAACTACCTGTTTTATAATTACCCTTATATCACATAATCCAGTACACTTGCCATAATTATGTGAAAAAGCACATACTGTACATAGCATGTTGCAGACCTGTAGCTACACTTACCACACTGTCCCTCAGTGTTGTTGGAGAATAAAGAAAATGGCAGGTTGATTACAAAATTCAGGCCTGCAAAGTCAATCTGAGCTTTTATAGCAGGGATGTTCACAGTCATCTGAATCTCAGTAGTGCTTATTCTGAAGTCTGAATTAGAGTAAGCTGGGATTGTCTGTACACCATTGACAAATACCTGGAAAGAAGAATTTCAGGTTACATGGTTTTATGTTCTTACACACTGCAACCAAAGATTATTTTATTGAGGACCACAATGACTAACGAATATTTCACAAATTTGCAAATACATACAAGCTAATTTAGAAATGTATCTTCGCTATCATGCAAAAATCTTCTATCTAAAGTCCACTTATATAAAGGCAGGTTGAACACGTACAAAATTGAGGTTGTTTATATCAGGTGTTTTTTTTAAAAAGGTGTTACGTATCAGATGTAGCTTTGAATCTTTGGTACTGTGCAAAAGTCTACAATACAATACAAATACAAATAAACAAAAGTATTTGTTTATTTGTATTTATTGCATTTATTATAATGTTATATAAGAAAGTTATGTGTAATGTCATTTTTCTGGGCAGTTAAGATGAATTTGCCGTTCCTTTTACAGTAACATTAAAATAAACACAAATGAAAAATATACAATAAATTGTGATTTGATGTGTGTGAGTGTTTAACCATTCCAAACCTTAGAGGAAGGTTAGTATTTACAGTTACCATACAATACTTGTTTCAGCTTATAAATCCTTCATTATAAATCTTCCTATAAAAGCTTATAAATCAGGTGTGCTGCTGATAAAATTTAACAAACCTGTGTTCTAAGATATTAATAATCTTTGAAAAAAAAAACAAATTAATGTTACTTGTTACTGTATTTGTTTATTTGTATTTATTATAATGTTATATAATATTAGTACAAGCCAACACATGTACTTCTGAGAATAATAGTTCTAAATAATTTTCATGGCTGCCTCATGGCTGAAGACATCTGCATAGTAAACATAACAAATGTGGAGTGACACAGGGTTTATTTTTAGGGCCTTTCCATTTCCTCTAAAAATCCACACCCTTTCAGGACTGGTGACAGGCTTACCAGTTGTTTGACAGACATTTCTCAGTGGATCTCTTAAATCCATCTCCATGTAAATATTCTAAGTAAATCAAGAAAAAACTTGCTTTGTACGCCAAATCTGAAGTAAGAAACCTGGGTGTAATTTTAGAGTCTAATCTTTGTTTTATCCTGCATGTAAATGCAGTCACTAAAATTGCATTGTTGTTTGAGAATCATTACTAATATTTGGCCTACAAGAAAGAGAGTGCACATCAGCCCCGGTTTTAAAAGACTGCACTGGCTGCCTGGATCTTTGAAGATCTTTTACTTGTTTTTAAATCTGTAAATAGCCTAGCACCCACGTATCTCACAGAACGTCTCTCTGTTTAAGATCAAGATGTGATCTTAGAACTGCAGATACTGGCCTTCTGCAAATACCCTGCATAAATTACAGAAAGTGTGGAAGCTTCTTTCTGTTTTTTCTGAATGATGGAACTTAATTCCATTTTTATTAGACACTCAAGCTCAGCACACTTTTAAAAAACATTTGTAAACGTACATTTTTAATTTAGCTTTTTTAAATTTAAGTTAAACCATGTTTTGTATTTACCTTTTTAAATTGAATGTTATACTCTTTATTTATTTCAATTAATACTTATCATTTTTCTTTTCATGAATGTTACTGAACTTCATCGCAGTTTTCATGTCTCTAAAGCACTTTGAGTTGCTACCTGAAAAGTGCTCTTTCAATAGTTTATCATTATTATTGACATCATTATTAAATGCCACATATATAAATCCATTAATGTCCTGTCAACTTACACTAAATACCTGGCTAATATTTGTCCTCTGGTCAGACTGAGGTTGTACATGAACTGGTTGTAGATGGTATGATGGCTTGTTTGGTAGCCTGTTACACCAATAAGGTCGATGTCTCTACTTGTTGTATAGTGTAGTATGTCAAGCAGTATTTCTCAAAGCCGGGACCCCGAGGCAGTCTAAATTTTTCCTCCCTATGTTTTTCAAGTAGGGTGGAAGCAAAAATGTGGCCCATCAGGGAGCTTGAGGACCAGTTTCAGAAACACTGAAAAGTGCACTCAGCATGGTTATCAGTCGAGTGAGAAACTTACTTTGTTCACAGTTGGGTTTCTTGTCTGTGTCATGTCGATTTTATATGATTTATAGTATATGGTCAAACTCTCAGGACAAGCCAAGTTATGGACAGCATCACAGATATAGTTCTTGATGTGGACACTGAAGTTGTACTTTTTGATGATCTCCTGGACCAACACATATGTGCAGTTTCCTTGTAAAGCATAATACTGTCCATCAAAAGTCAAGTAATGCGAATCTCCCCAACCCATGCATCTACCTGTAGTTTTCGAAAAAGAACAAAGTTACAATGCATTCAAAGTGCAACTTGTTTACTTACACAGTCTATATTCAGTATTTTTTCTTACTTTACATTCCACAATATATTCTTACATAAAACTTCTTATATAAAATTTCTTATAGAAAACTTCTTTAAAGTTTTAGTGAAAGATGAGAAGAGACTCACATGCACATTCATAAATTCTATTCTCAAATATCACAGGAGGCATTCTATTTGCACACACAGGAGAAGATGAAATATTGGGATGTACTATGATGATTGAACCATTTACGCACTTCTTAACAGTTGAACAGTTCTCAATCCAGGTTTCTTCATTCTGTTATTGAGAATAAATATAAAGAACAAAGTAAACAAATACAGTTGTCTTATTATCTGTAATTCTATGACTAAAAATTACAACTGTCATCCTGATTATTGAATGCTATTTTTTGTCAGGCGCATCTCAGTGCATTGACTATTTGACTATAACCCCATTTCCAAAAAAGTTGGGATGCTATGCAAAAAGCAAATACATACTGAATGCAATGATGTGCAAATTAATAAACCCTATATTTAACTGAAAATATTCAAACAAATCAAAATATACAACATATACAAATAAACAAAACATATGCATTCAGTTAAATATTTTAAAACAGAGAAATATATCATTTTTGGAAAAATACATGCCCATTTTGAATATGATGCCAGCAACACATTTCAGAAAAATTGGGAGAGGGGCATGTTAACCACTGTGTTGCATCACCTCTTCTTTTACCATTAACAACACTCTGTAAGCATCTGGGAGGTGAGGAGACCAAAAGCTGGAGATTTTTTATGTAAAATGTTTTCCCGTTCTTGTTTGATATAGGATTTTAGCTATTCAATAGTTCAGACTGTCATATTTTGTTTTTATTTATAATACACAAAATGTTTTCACTGGGTGTGTGTTGGAGAATTTTAGATGATATGAAAGATTTTTTAGGTTAATTAAAAGTAATACATGATTTCAATTATAACTAATCATATTTTATTATATTCTAGGGTTCTCTCTGTGCATGTGCAGCTTTCCCCGTGTGTGTCTGGGGGTGACCCTAAGTATGTTGCAAATTGCAGTGGTGTGTGCCAAGTAGGACTCATCTAGGAGAAGCACACACACAGAGAAGAACCTGTTTGTTCTATTCAAGTATTAAAAATGTCTTCGAAGGAGAAAAGCACATACGTAGAGAGACTTAGTTGTAACCACATTGAATTCAAGTAATAAACTGAATAAAGTTTAAAGGCCTAGGCCTGATTGTGGACTTGGCCTGTGATTATCTTTAAAAATATGTTTCTTCTCAGTTTAGAAATAATGTAAGAATTTTTGAAAAGAAAAAATTATGTTAATAATGTTGTGAATAATGACGTGAAAGATAATCAAAGAAACAATGCAAGGTTTGGAAATAATGGTGTAAAAATTAAAAGATATTAAATATTTGGGAGAATATTTAATATAATATTAAATATTCTATAATAAAATAAATTAAATAATATAATAAATATTTGCCCAGAAAAGAGTATAAAATTATATGTTTTTCTGGGTTGGTCAGTTGCTGCCTGGGCCAACTCAGATTAATGCTTATATGCTGGAAAGCCTTTATCTTAATAAATGGAATTGTGCCTTTTCCTGCCAATCCTGGTGTTTTGAGCTTTATTTTAATTTTTGAGTTTTAAGCAAAACTGTCTATTTTTACCACGACAGGTAACAGGTCTGGACTGCAGGAAGGCTTGTTTAGAACCTAGACTCTTTACATAGCCATGCTGTTGGTACAGTTGCAGTTAGTTGCAATAGTTAAAATTTTACAGATTTTGTAAGTGAATATAAGTTAACTCATCCTCTACAGGAAACACAATTAAATGTGGCATACTGCAAATGTTAGAGCATTCCTAATTTGTTTGCTAAGTTACATTGGAAAATAATTTTAAAAACTTAATTTAAAATGTGCCAGAATTTTTGCACAGGCTACATTTAAAGATGGCCTGTATTTAAAAATGTGTTTTTAAAGGTTAACTCCTCTTGGATGGTTTGTTATGGTTATACAGACTGATATTTGAATGAAATATTAGCATAGCATAGAGTTTATATTTTTCCATTGACAACACAGTCTAAAAGAGTCTACTAAAAAGTAAAAAAACAGTCTACTAAAAGAGTCACTTTGAAACTGCTAGAAGATAAACTACATGCTAATATGTCTGTCACAAAGTTCAAGTAAAACATGGAATGCCTTATAGAAGCTTCACGTCTGTTCAATCTACAACAGCCAAAAAATGTTTAGGTGAACTGCTGTCAGATTAACGCTACCAAGTCACTAGAATGACATAGAGACACTAGCAGAAAATAGCATTATCACAGAGGTGATCTATTACTGCTAGCTGTAATAGTCTCGGTTCCCCACTTGTGTCAGAACATTCAATTCACATAAAAACAAACTGAAATACATACTTTTTACCAAATATATATTAAACTACAAATAAAGTTTTATCAATTTCCGAATTACCTTTTTTTGTGGGTAGTAGTATGTGCAGTCAGGAGTGGGTGTAATGACAGTGGTAGTAGTAGGTTTTGTTGTAGAAGGGGGAGCAGTAGAATGGCAAGGTCGTGCATGCTCCTTGATACTGCACACTGGATCACAATAAGCAGTGATACACCACCCTGCTCCATCCGTTACATTATAGATGAATGACCCTAGATATTGGATCGAATAAAAATGAAATGATTTATAACTCATATAACTATGTGAGCAGATCATGACAAAAATAAAAAAGATTACTGCTCCTGTCTCTTGTGTATATAGATGCAATGATTCATTTACAATTGTTTTCTATTCTGTTTTGTTGTCTTTCTATCAGAAAGCCTTAAAAACTTTAAATCTTGTGAAAGTCCTGTTAGTCTTATTGTCTTATTACAAAAATTATGAAATGTTGTTTTAAACACAACCTGAAATCAAAATGGGCCTTTTTACCTTGTTGGAGATAAAATTCTTTCAGAAAATTTCCATCAAAATGAAAAACTTTTGCCTACATCTAAAACACGTTTTGGCCAGGTAGATGATATAAAATAATATTAACCGTTCATTTAATATTGTGTTTTATATTCCTCCTCCTAGCCTAGCAAGCAGCAACATGGTTAAGAAGTAATTTTTGTTATTCACTACCAAATCCCTTGTTGTCTTTCCCCAAATTAACCTGCTTACAGATTTGGTGGCTCATAATTTTACATTTTGTAGAGGCTGAAATGTGATAATAACCAGACTTTAGGGGTAGGGATTTTAACCATTTATGCATTTCATTTATTTAAACAAAAAGTATTTGAATACCCTAGTATATTTATATTAGTGCAAGCTAACAGAACACTTTCCCACAATGGAATAGTTCTAGTGTAAACACACCTACAAAACCTCGATTTTTGTTACAATGTTAAGACCCTGGTTTACTACAGGTTTGTGTGTGAAAAAATGTCCAAACTGATCTACTAACAGGCAGTGTCTGAAATACCCCCTGGTATTCTGGGGTTCACAAGTTGGCTGCCTACTCCAGCGTTGGCTGGCTGCTAACTCACTCTACACAGCGGTGCTGATGTTAGCTTCATTGGCAGCAAAATGTTTGGCTTAACAATTCTTCTGGTTGCTCTCTTCTAGTTTGGTAATGTACTCTTCCACACATTAACTGAGATCTTACACATCTCCTCTTTTGTCTTTGGTTTGCGAAATGAGTAACCGTTAATTCACTCTTTCCACCAAACTGTTGTAAAAATGGGCAAGCTTTCAGATTTACAGATATGCTGCAGCATACTGTAAAGTTTTTCAGAGGTATCCCAGACATAGTTACAGTTGTAGGCTGCGGAGGAAAAACAGGGTGAACCAGTTTGCAACAGCATCACCCTGAGGCAGACCAGTATTCCATGAGTTGTTAGGACCATCAAAGACAGAAGCATGTTGATTGTGGGTGAAGCAGCTAAACAATAAGCTTTCACTGAATTTGTATTTAAAAATACGGACACGCTAACACCATAATAAAGTTTATTGTTAGGGACCCACCAGAATTTTTGTTTTAAGACATTTAGAACATGCAAGAGGTTAGTTGAGGGGCCCTGGACAACCCATTTAGTACCTTGATGACAGGGTCTGTGAAGGATTACATCTTTCAAATAAGGAAAAAAATGGCAGGCTATCTGTTTTGAGGCTTTGCCTTAACAAACGTGCAACCTTTTCTAAGCCTGAAGAATATAAGCACGTGCTCAAGCAAATAGATAAATTTGTGTGCGCAAAATAATACCGGTGAGGGGTAGGTACCTCTCACCGGTATTAGTGCATGAGTGTTTCACACCATGGCTGTCTCTGTATTTTTAGTGTTTAGCCTAATATTTTTAATGTGTTATACTAGTAATGTGCAATACTTGCTTGCTCACTGATGAAACAGTAAAACAGGCTTGTGAAACAGGGAAATGGAAACTCTTAAGAAATTATAAGCATTGTAAGCTTTTTAGAAAAAAAAACATAAATGTTCAGAATGCAAGAAAATATTGTCTCTTCTCATAAAGAAGATGTGTTATAGGCTATTCACCTACTGTAAGTAAATTTCATCAATGTCATAAAATCAGATTAATTAAAACACTAAAATAAGTTACAGCTCTTCTGTTGAGCTATTGAATATTTTTATTTGATCATCACACTACCAAATAATTTGCAAAGTTTTACTACAATGTTTTTCTTTTATTATTTTTGACTCTCCTTTTCTTAACTCTATCAATTGTTCTTTAGTTTTACCTACTCTGCTGACTCAAGAACTTCTATAACACTTTCAAACTCGTCATCACTATTGATAACAGTTAACACATTGTTCTTACCTGTTTTTTGCATGTGACATCTATTCAATTATCCACACAAAATCTTCTACATTTCACATGAAAATTTTTAGTTAGGATCTCATTAAATCAGTGTATTGGAGTATTATTTAAAAAGCCAGATTAAATTATTTCAAATTCAAACATTACTTGCCTGGGAGGAAACTGTTGCTTCTATATGTGCAGACACATTGTGTAGTTGTGTTGCCTGTACTAGGTGTAGTGGTTTCCGTTGTAGTTGAGGGGGACAATGTAGTAGTTGGTGTTGTTGGTGTTGAAGGAATTTCCACTGTTGTTGTTGGAGTACTTTCTGTTGTAGTTGATGTGCTTCCTGTAACAGGTGTAGTTGAGGGGGTTAAGATAGTGCTTGTTTCTGTTATTGGTGTTGAGGAAACTTCCTCTGTTGTTGTTGGAGTAGTTTCTGTTGTAGTTGATGTGCTTCCTGTAAAGGGTGTAGTTGAGGGAGTTAAGATAGTAGTAGTTTCTGTTGTTGGTGTTGAGGAAACTTCCTCTGTTGTTGTTGGAGTAGTTTCTGTTGTAGTTGATGTGCTTCCTGTAACAGGTGTAGTTGAGGGAGTTAAGATGGTGGTAGTTTCTGTTGTTGGTGTTGAAGAAACTTCCTCTGTTGTTGTTGGAGTAGTTTCTGTTGTAGTTGATGTGCTTCCTGTAAAGGGTGTAGTTGAGGGAGTTAAAATAGTGGTTGTTTCTGTTGTTGGTGTTGAGGAAACTTCCTCTGTTGTTGTTGGAGTAGTTTCTGTTGTAGTTGATGTGCTTCCTGTAAAGGGTGTAGTTGAGGGGGTTGATGTAGTGGTTGTTTCTGTTGTTGGTGTTGAAGAAACTTCCTCTGTTGTTGTTGGAGTACTTTCTGTTGTAGTTGATGTGCTTCCTGTAAAGGGTGTAGTTGAGGGAGTTAAGATAGTGGTTGTTTCTGTTGTTGGTGTTGAGGAAACTTCCACTGTTGTTGTTGGAGTAGTTTCTGTTGTAGTTGATGTGCTTCCTGTAAAGGGTGTAGTTGAGGGAGTTAAGATAGTGGTTGTTTCTGTTGTTGGTGTTGAGGAAACTTCCTCTGTTGTTGTTGGAGTAGTTTCTGTTGTAGTTGATGTGCTTACTGTAACGGGTGTAGTTGAGGGAGTTAAGATAGTGCTTGTTTCTGTTGTTGGTGTTGAAGAAACTTCCTCTGTTGTTGTTGGAGTAGTTTCTGTTGTAGTTGATGTGCTTCCTGTAAAGGGAGTAGTTGAGGGGGTTAACATAGTGGTTGTTTCTGTTGTTGGTGTTGAGGAAACTTCCTCTGTTGTTGTTGGAGTAGTTTCTGTTGTAGGTGATGTGCTTCCTGTAAAGGGTGCAGTTGAGGGAGTTAAGATAGTGGTTGTTTCTGTTGTTGGTGTTGAGGAAACTTCCTCTGTTGTTGTTGGAGTAGTTTCTGTTGTAGTTGATGTGCTTCCTGTAAAGGGTGTAGTTGAGGGGGTTAAGATAGTGGTTGTTTCTGTTGTTGGTGTTGAAGAAACTTCCACTGTTGTTGTTGGAGTAGTTTCTGTTGTAGTTGATGTGCTTCCTGTAAAGGGTGTAGTTGAGGGAGTTAAGATAGTGGTTGTTTCTGTTGTTGGTGTTGAGGAAGCTTCCTCTGTTGTTGTTGGAGTAGTTTCTGTTGTAGTTGATGTGCTTCCTGTAAAGGGTGTAGTTGAGGGAGTTAAGATAGTGGTTGTTTCTGTTGTTGGTGTTGAGGAAACTTCCTCTGTTGTTGTTGGAGTAGTTTCTGTTGTAGTTGATGTGCTTCCTGTAAAGGGTGTAGTTGAGGGGGTTGATGTAGTGGTTGTTTCTGTTGTTGGTGTTGACGGAATTTCCACTGTTGTTGTTGGAGTAGTTTCTGTTGTAGTTGATGTGCTTCCTGTAAAGGGTGTAGTTGAGGGGGTTAATGAAGTAGTTGTTTCTGTTGTTGGTGTTGAAGAAACTTCCTCTGTTGTTGTTGGAGTAGTTTCTGTTGTAGGTGATGTGCTTCCTGTAAAGGGTGTAGTTGAGGGAGTTAAGATAGTGGTTGTTTCTGTTGTTGGTGTTGAGGAAACTTCCTCTGTTGTTGTTGGAGTAGTTTCTGTTGTAGTTGATGTGCTTCCTGTAAAGGGTGTAGTTGAGGGGGTTAAGATAGTGGTTGTTTCTGTTGTTGGTGTTGAAGAAACTTCCACTGTTGTTGTTGGAGTAGTTTCTGTTGTAGGTGATGTGCTTCCTGTAAAGGGTGTAGTTGAGGGAGTTAAGATAGTGGTTGTTTCTGTTGTTGGTGTTGAGGAAACTTCCTCTGTTGTTGTTGGAGTAGTTTCTGTTGTAGTTGATGTGCTTCCTGTAAAGGGTGTAGTTGAGGGGGTTAAGATAGTGGTTGTTTCTGTTGTTGGTGTTGAAGAAACTTCCACTGTTGTTGTTGGAGTAGTTTCTGTTGTAGGTGATGTGCTTCCTGTAAAGGGTGTAGTTGAGGGAGTTAAGATAGTGGTTGTTTCTGTTGTTGGTGTTGAAGAAACTTCCTCTGTTGTTGTTGGAGTAGTTTCTGTTGTAGTTGATGTGCTTCCTGTAAAGGGTGTAGTTGAGGGGGTTAACATAGTGGTTGTTTCTGTTGTTGGTGTTGAGGAAACTTCCTTTGTTGTTGTTGGAGTACTTTCTGTTGTAGTTGATGTGCTTCCTGTAAAGGGTGTAGTTGAGGGAGTTAAGATAGTGGTTGTTTCTGTTGTTGGTGTTGAAGAAACTTCCTCTGTTGTTGTTGGAGTAGTTTCTGTTGTAGTTGATGTGCTTCCTGTAAAGGGTGTAGTTGAGGGGGTTAATGTAGTAGTTGTTTCTGTTGTTGGTGTTGAGGAAACTTCCTCTGTTGTTGTTGGAGTAGTTTCTGTTGTAGTTGATGTGCTTCCTGTAAAGGGTGTAGTTGAGGGAGTTAAGATGGTGGTTGTTTCTGTTGTTGGTGTTGAGGAAACTTCCTCTGTTGTTGTTGGAGTAGTTTCTGTTGTAGTTGATGTGCTTCCTGTAACAGGTGTAGTTGAGGGAGTTGATGTAGTAGTTGTTTCTGTTGTTGGTGTTGAAGAAACTTCCTCTGTTGTTGTTGAAGTAGTTTCTGTTGTAGTTGATGTGCTTCCTGTAAAGGGAGTAGTTGAGGGGGTTAACATAGTGGTTGTTTCTGTTGTTGGTGTTGAGGAAACTTCCTCTGTTGTTGTTGGAGTAGTTTCTGTTGTAGTTGATGTGCTTCCTGTAAAGGGTGTAGTTGAGGGAGTTAAGATGGTGGTTGTTTCTGTTGTTGGTGTTGAGGAAACTTCCTCTGTTGTTGTTGGAGTAGTTTCTGTTGTAGTTGATGTGCTTCCTGTAACAGGTATAGTTGAGGGGGTTAATGTAGTGGTAGTTTCTGTTGTTGGTGTTGAAGGAATTTCCACTGTTGTTGTTGGAGTAGTTTCTGTTGTAGGTGATGTGCTTCCTGTAAAGGGTGTAGTTGAGGGAGTTAAGATAGTGGTTGTTTCTGTTGTTGGTGTTGAAGAAACTTCCTCTGTTGTTGTTGGAGTAGTTTCTGTTGTAGTTGATGTGCTTCCTGTAAAGGGTGTAGTTGAGGGAGTTAAGATAGTGGTTGTTTCTGTTGTTGGTGTTGAAGAAACTTCCTCTGTTGTTGTTGGAGTAGTTTCTGTTGTAGTTGATGTGCTTCCTGTAACAGGTGTGGTTGAGCGAGTTAAGATAGTGGTTGTTTCTGTTGTTGGTGTTGAGGAAACTTCCTCTGTTGTTGTTGGAGTAGTTTCTGTTGTAGTTGATGTGCTTCCTGTAAAGGGTGTAGTTGAGGGAGTTAAGATAGTGGTTGTTTCTGTTGTTGGTGTTGAAGAAACTTCCTCTGTTGTTGTTGGAGTAGTTTCTGTTGTAGTTGATGTGCTTCCTGTAATGGGTGTAGTTGAGGGGGTTAACATAGTGGTTGTTTCTGTTGTTGGTGTTGAAGGAATTTCCACTGTCGTTGGAGTAGTTTCTGTTGTAGGTGATGTGCTTCCTGTAAAGGGTGTAGTTGAGGGAGTTAAGATAGTGGTTGTTTCTGTTGTTGGTGTTGAGGAAACTTCCTCTGTTGTTGTTGGAGTAGTTTCTGTTGTAGTTGATGTGCTTCCTGTAACGGGTGTAGTTGAGGGAGTTAAGATAGTGGTTGTTTCTGTTGTTGGTGTTGAGGAAACTTCCTCTGTTGTTGTTGGAGTAGTTTCTGTTGTAGTTGATGTGCTTCCTGTAACAGGTGTAGTTGAGGGAGTTAAGATAGTGGTTGTTTCTGTTGTTGGTGTTGAAGAAACTTCCACTGTTGTTGTTGGAGTAGTTTCTGTTGTAGTTGATGTGCTTCCTGTAAAGGGTGTAGTTGAGGGGGTTAATGTAGTAGTTGTTTCTGTTGTTGGTGTTGAGGAAACTTCCTCTGTTGTTGTTGGAGTAGTTTCTGTTGTAGTTGATGTGCTTCCTGTAAAGGGTGTAGTTGAGGGGGTTAACATAGTGGTTGTTTCTGTTGTTGGTGTTGAGGAAACTTCCTTTGTTGTTGTTGGAGTACTTTCTGTTGTAGTTGATGTGCTTCCTGTAAAGGGTGTAGTTGAGGGAGTTAAGATAGTGGTTGTTTCTGTTGTTGGTGTTGAAGAAACTTCCTCTGTTGTTGTTGGAGTAGTTTCTGTTGTAGTTGATGTGCTTCCTGTAAAGGGTGTAGTTGAGGGGGTTAATGTAGTAGTTGTTTCTGTTGTTGGTGTTGAGGAAACTTCCTCTGTTGTTGTTGGAGTAGTTTCTGTTGTAGTTGATGTGCTTCCTGTAAAGGGTGTAGTTGAGGGAGTTAAGATGGTGGTTGTTTCTGTTGTTGGTGTTGAGGAAACTTCCTCTGTTGTTGTTGGAGTAGTTTCTGTTGTAGTTGATGTGCTTCCTGTAAAGGGTGTAGTTGAGGGAGTTAAGATAGTGGTTGTTTCTTTTGTTGGTGTTGAGGAAACTTCCTCTGTTGTTGTTGGAGTAGTTTCTGTTGTAGTTGATGTGCTTCCTGTAAAGGGAGTAGTTGAGGGGGTTGATGTAGTGGTTGTTTCTGTTGTTGGTGTTGAAGAAACTTCCTCTGTTGTTGTTGGAGTAGTTTCTGTTGTAGTTGATGTGCTTCCTGTAAAGGGTGTAGTTGAGGGAGTTAAGATAGTGGTTGTTTCTGTTGTTGGTGTTGAGGAAACTTCCTCTGTTGTTGTTGGAGTAGTTTCTGTTGTAGTTGATGTGCTTACTGTAACAGGTGTAGTTGAGCGAGTTAAGATAGTGGTTGTTTCTGTTGTTGGTGTTGAGGAAACTTCCTCTGTTGTTGTTGGAGTAGTTTCTGTTGTAGTTGATGTGCTTCCTGTAAAGGGTGTAGTTGAGGGAGTTAAGA